ACCTTTGACAGATTGGAACGCGATTTCTGACGTTATCTTTGCACCACCGAGATCCTAATCAGATTCTTCAAAGCCGCAATGCAATACAATATTATACATTAAAAACAAGTATAGTTACATGCTCTACTGAACAGTACCAAAGTCATCCCTATCAGATTTTGAGGATTTTACGGATTTGAGTAGAATTTAAAAACAGGTTTGGTGAAAAGCTAGAGTCAAAGTTTTATGATAGGGATGGCCTATAAGCTAGTCCCTCTCTTGTCCCATATGAAATTTCTAAAAAGAATTTGTGCCATGGCGAAGAAAGGAGCGACAGTGTCGTCTCAGTTTCCGTGAAATCGACCCGCATTACATAACACTTTTATGCGGTTTCCATTCCGTTAGACGTATGCCATCGTTTCATCAAATTATTGGTTTGAAGAGTTCAATGGCATGTGCACAAACAATACGGGCNTAAAATGGTCCCAAGTAGTGCACACTGTCTGTGATGGCAAAGATTTAACGTCGGCATTCCAGTGAAAGATTTTTCGATGGATGTGCCTCGAGGTGCATATTATGTGGTAATGTCCGAAGCAGTCAAAATCGATGCCTTGGGTTCTGCATCACTGGATGCAGCTAAGGCACGTCATCTCCTTGAATTCGGTTGCGCTACACATCTGGTTGATTTTTGTCCAACATCTTCTGATCACACTGTAGTTACAGATTCGGGCTATGATTGTCCATTGATAACGGATATGAGGGCGAGGGACTGCGTTGACTCAAACCGACCAAGGTGATTTTTCATCAAATTGGCGTTCTTTGGAGTGCAGAACGAAGCTCTGGCGGGGTTAATCGAACAGCCAAAAAAATGAACAATAATGGTCCGATCATTCTCTCTCAGGACATGTACAAACATAAGATGAAAATAGCTATTCCCCAGTTCATCAATTCAACCATTCACTCGGTAGCATCACAGACTCGAATTTCGCCCCTATTAAAGCTCATCACTGGTGCATATCCATCGTCCTACCGTCCGGGATTTGAACTCCGGATCCATCGCATGGGAGGCGTGTGTTACCACTGTGCCAACCAGCTCATACCATGGCTGAACCGAATTGCCAATTCATGTTTGTTCAGGTGTGTTCTTCAGTGATAGTCAATCAGTTCGTTTGGCCCGGCAGCAGCGAGGGTAGACACAGATGAAAACCTGTTAACTCCAATCGACCACCAAGTCAGAACTTCCGTGCAGGATACGGGCTGACTTGCCACATACCTACCAGCTTTGACCGATCTTCGAATTTGATTCACAGTTACTTGTGAGTAGTGTGTGTGGGATAATTGATATAAATTGATTTGAACTGACTATCCTTCGGACTTCATCTTCATGCTCAGTCTTCGATTCGTCGATCCAACCACACACTCGAAAGCACCATAGACACCAGTTTCGCTCTTATTATAGCACTACTGATAAACTCTCATAAGAGCAAAACTCGAGTCTAGTGCTTCCGAGTTGTTGACTGAATCGATGAACTGAGGATTGTTGATGAAGGTGAAGTCCGACGGATAGTCATTCGAATAAATCAGTATCAGTTATACCCCCCCCCCACACACATACACACATACACAAGTAATTGTGAGTCAAATTCGAAAGTAGCAATTGTTGATTATTCATGTACTGATAAATCTACGTATTTAGACACATTGGAACTGCTGTAAAGGATTTAACTCGGTACTGGATTCTAGAAGGATGGTCCTCCGGTAATGTTTCTCGTCCAGATGAGAATCCCACAAAGAGTGAAATAGAACACAGATTGGAAACCTGTAGATATTTGTTCATATTCAAAATTCATGGTTATTTATTAAAAAAAGGCGAGAACAGCGCAACGAACATATATGAAACGATTGGTTGACTGGGTGTTCCGGCCGATCGCCTGATTTTGCTTATCGTTATTCTGATTGGTCGTCCCAGAACAAAGCAGTTTTAACGGAACACACTGACTTCTCGAGAGTATTGAATGTCATGCTCAAACGAGATCTGAACAAATCAGGAGCGTCAAAAAGTGCTCCAATCACAAACTAATTCTGATTTTACAAGCACAAATTCATTCATCTTCCATTATCCTATTTTTACAGAACTGTATGCTGCTCTATCCAAATCCCACGGAATATTTTTGTCCTTATTCGAAGTTAACATTTTACAATATGTTCAGAAAGTGGAAGATACGCAAATTGAAAAGATTTTTGGCCTTAATTAATCAAACCGGTTCTGTTAGCTGGGGTTAGCTTCCACCTCTACTCACTGCTCACTCGCTGCACTGAGTGATTTTACGTTTTGTAATTTGAGCTGATTAATTCCACTACATTTTTGATTCATCAAAAACAGACGAAAAAAAATCAATTAACGGAGTCAACATGTGAAATTCCTCTAAAACAAGATAACAATCACTATGCGCTTTCTTTAAGTAAATTGATACCAACGATCACCTGGTTTTGATTACTGACAAGGATGAAAGTAATTATTTTTCGCTTACATTAGAAATTTCGAGGGTTAACAAATTTTAGAGGTCGATTACCAACGCATAACTGTGCCAAATGTACATTCAAATTTGCCATGTTTAACTCAGGGATTGTTCCATGCATCCATTGATGCATGGTTCATCATCATCAACATCATCATCATCATCATCATCAACATCATCATCATCGTCATCATCATCATTATCGTTGTAGAGCGCGATACCGTGAAGCGGATTTCTCTGATAGCTGCCAAACTCATGCTTACAACGCATACAAGGTAAATGAGAATACGCACGGAGGATAGGGATTGAGTCTCTTTTAGGGATGGGAAAAGAAAGCGAACCTCGACTGTTAGCACATAGAGTAAACAGTCCAACGAGCATACATACTAGTTCAAGTATTCTGGTTTGATAAGAAGTGACAGCAAGATTGCCATTGCTGTCGGTTCACAGCCATGACCTTCAGTATCGTCAACTATGCGGTTACGGAGTTGTTTGAAACCCGTCCCAAAAGACGAGAGACACCTATTCTACCTAATCGTTCTGTGCATTTCTCCACTTCATCTGCTGGCCTCCACGTGGCTTTCTCCAGCCTGCAACAGCCACTGCGAACAAGGCGCGCTGCGGTAAACGACCGTCGGACATCCGCAAAACGCGTCCTAATCAACGGAGCCTATATAGCTGGATTCAATGCGATAGGTACTTCTTGTTGGATGCTCTCCCAAACACTCGACGACTTATTTCAAGGTTACTAATCCGCTCACCTCATCCCACTTGAGCCAGGCCACGTAAGTATCGATTGTCGAAAACAACTAGGTGACGGATGTCTGCTACCCGCAAATTCAGAGTTTCATAACCGTAAAGCAGAACTGATCGTACAGTGGCGCAGTACTCACGACTTTTCAATTTCAGTGAAATGTCAGGTCGTCGCCGTAGGTGTTTTAGTGTTGTGTGCACTGATCAAGCGGTAGTTTATCTGTTATTGATATGCTACCATCGTTGATCACGCAGTTACCGAAGTACGAGAAGTGGTCAACTGCAGCTAATTCCTCACCATCTAATTTTAGAACTCAGTAACACTCAGTCTAGGCTAATCTCTATTAGACATAATCTGCGATTCGTATACGTCCAATTCACGGGGGGATTCTAACCCGGAAACGGTTCAATTCAGGTAAAAGTATATTGGTCACTTGTTGCGAAAGTTGCTTCTTACAGAATCCATGCAGCTGCGGTTTGTTGATGATGAATTGCAGTAAGCAACCGCAATCTATTTGTTCGGAATCCGGCTAAAAAAAGCATATTTCATAGTCCCCTAAATGTGTGCGATTGAACTAATGTTAAACTAAAAGACGCAAACAATTAACCAACAACAACAAGACTAACTAAGAAAGAAAATAAAACATTCAAAAGGAAAATATAGTTTGGCTTAAAACAAAACGGTTGCTAATTTTTCCGTCGTCTCACGTCCCATCATCCCCAGAAAACCTAACCACGTTACATTTACAGAACAATCCGATTGGCTTAGATTGAACCAATCACAATAGTGCCCATGGTATCACAAAGACAAAACACGGAATAACTGTTTCGCTACGACCGACAAACTGCTGTGTAGATCAAACGTCCACGTTCAAAGCACATTTCAGACAAAGCTTTAGAACATATTCTTCCGTCCTTGCCGATTCGGAATTACATTGTGCCAAACATGTGGTGCCCCAATCTGTGTGTGTGTGGGGAAAATCTGCG